TATATATACTGTATATATAATATATATAGAGCACCTGATAACGAAAACCTGGTATAACGAAAAAGAATTGAATACACAAATTAAGGGTGGGTAAAATGGCTATTTTCACTTGTTATACATACGTTCCTGCTCGATTGTGAGACTATAAGGAACTGTAATAGTAATTATATTTATGTTATAAATCAGGGAACAGGATATTACATCACAGTTCCCTGGTATATATAGGTCTCAATGTGTAAATAAAAGCTGAAAGTTTAAATCGCCTTTGTGCTAGCGTGATAATAAACCATTCAACCGAACAGAGCGCGACTCTGACTCTTGAAACATGAGACGGCATGGAGCATGTGGTTTGTTCCCAACTGTAAACATCGACCGCATTACGGGTATAACGACAAAGAAATTATTACACCATGGTTTTAAAAGTCTTAATAAAAATATAAAAGACGAACCAAAACAAGCCGTGGTTTTATCTTTTTGAGAAAGATTAAATGAATTAGATAGTAAGAAATTTAAATAATCAAAATATTAATAATAGATTAATACAACGTTACGACCGAGTCCGACGAGAATTGGTAGTGAACTACATTTTCTCGTGTATGAAGACATGGACTATCTAGGCTGCAGTCCTACATAAAAAAAAAGTTTGTCGCATTTTCTTCTTGTCACTTTCTGATTTAGCAACTCAGCTATACATTGATTGCAGTATTTTAGATAGTTATGTCTGTAGAATACGAAAGATAATTTAATCTTGACTAGGCCTATAAAGGGCCGTAGTTGAATTTAGGATTGCAGAACAGGCACAACATAGCCATGTATCATGCAATAATAGGCTTAGGCTCCCAATCGAGTAGGGAAGCAGATTTTCATCCTATATTATCTGCTGGTTATAGGTATGCGCCGGTGCTCTTACATACACCGCTGTGGCAACATACAAGCTAAGAGTAAGTACAAGGCTGTCTAAAACTACATCGAGAAAAGTTTGACTTTATTTTCATGAGTAATTACTAATTTTAAGGAAGGTGTACGCCTTGGCCTATGGTTATTTGCTGTTTATGATGAACGTTATTCTAGATAAACGTTCGATAGACCACATTCTATCCTACGTTATACGTTCGATGTTTTCCGGTTCTACGCATTGTACACACTTATTGACTACGTTAGAAACTGTTCTACGTTCTAAATTAACTATGTTCTACGTTCTACGTTTATCTACGATTATGTTTTTGTTACGCGTATCTTACGAGTGTACTACGAAGATTACGTGTGGTACGGAGGCAGTAATTCACGCCTGTACTGTACCTTCCGAGCGGTTGTTTGCGGCCTGTCTCCTGCAGTATTATAACTTGTACATAACTGATGTATTTAGAACCTAATAATTTCCATTTAAAACATACACAAAAAATGTATTTATTGCCAATATAAGTTTACAATGCAAAAAGAGAGATGGAATGAAGTTCAGTTAAAAAACTTTCTAATATCTAACGGTTCTAATATCTATGTAAACTGTATCTTAGTTTTGGAGACACGCGGTTGCATTGACTGCTTGCGTAGTATTGCTCCATAATGAGGTGCATGACTTGGTGTGTCGCGGCAGCTACTGTACTTCTTACCGTATACTCAAAATTATAATTATGTTGTTTTAATTGGTTTTCAAATACCTCTGTAATAACAGAATTATTGTACAGTAATATCTCCCAATTACGAACCTCCCATTTACAAGCTCTTGATTTTACGAACCCAATTTGCGGCGATGACGTCATTACAAACGATTGTTTTAACTACAAAAACACTAATAATAATAATAATAATAATGTAAAATGTTACATCAGCTAAGAAAGAAAACATTTAAACCAATAAAGTGACATAAAACTAAGTTTAAAGCAACAAATATACCGGTGTTCCTTGCGTATTAGCCCATCTCCAGTGGCTGATCTAAGCGAAAGGGGCTAAAACTCTTGAGGCTGCACCAGCCTCCCCACCCGCCTCTCTTCAGACCATGTAGTCCCTGCCCACCCCAGCAAAAAAATTCCTGTATTAGTCCTTGCTCTCTGCGAGTTTTTGCGCACCCTCAAACATTAAAGTACTTTTCATGACTTAGGTTTTAGCCCACCGCTAATTATAGTGTTTTGAAATAGGAATTGGACACATTGTGAAGCCTACAGTAGGCCCAAGGCTGGACTACTGTACAGTACTTGTGAGGAGTAGGCTAGACTTACCTAGTGTGGCTCAAACTTCCTGGTTCTTGGGTGTAAGCCCACTCCCATAACCATTCCATTTTGTATTCAGTAATGGGCTTATACTTGAGGAACTCTGGTATATTTCAATTTTACACTAGAACATACAGTATCACGGTAGCACAATATCAGCAACAAACTATCCGCTATATTTATTCATGTATAT